GGATTCATAAATATGTTCTTCTTTCATAATTAGGATTTAATTCCTTATTCCTTATTGCATTAGTTTCAGTTGGCACACGAACTCTCAGCAATGGTAAAGAGGTTTAGAACTTAAGTTGAAGAAAATCAGAGTTTCATCATTCTCTATTTGCTTATTCATATGTGGGTATTAACAATAGTATAACCCAACCTACTAATGGTCAAAACCCTTATTCTAACCTGGTCATTGTATATTTGCTATTCTATGAAACACGGATTGTAGGTGCGAAGCATGTAAAAGCTTTAGAAGTCCAATTAGAAACTTGTCATCGTTGAAAGCTTTTATAACAAATAAGGGCATATTGCAATATTGGTAGTTGGTGGACCAATAATTTTTTTTGTCATCCATATGTCATTGTTAATTTCATGCTTCGGGTCCTAGCCCTTTTAGTAACCATGTTAGATGTTTTGGAAAGAATGGCATGTAGATCCCTTGTAAGGAAATTAAAATACTTTATTCCTACTTAAAAAAATGTTAATATATTGTGAATCTAAAAATGGTCATGTGTTTACCTGATTACTGGAGAAGAAATGCATGCATAGTGTTCGTTGAGCTTCTAGGTTTGGTTAGTGTGTTTTCAAGTTGCCATTTCTACATTCACTTGACAAATCTTGTGGAGAGTAGGTTATACAGGCAGCTTTTAGTTGCTTCACCTGTAAAGGGAATTTATAGAAAGTAAAAACAATTCCTTGATTTGGTTTAACCTCAACTGATTGAATATGCTCCTGTTTATGTCCAGGATCAAGTGAGAGAGTTGCAGATGTAGATTGGCAGGAGGTGCTCTATCAAAAGGTAATGTCCAACATTTTTTCTCTTAATTTCCATGTTTTGGTTTTGGTGTCTGTGACAGTCTGAATATGATTAGCAGACTTGTGCTGATAAGCAAGACTTCACTAGGGTGAACCATTTTAATAAATAGAACATGGTTTTCTTTTGATTATTATTATGTGGTTGTGGAAGTTGATCATCAATTATTAAAAAATCTATAGGGAGCGTGCTAGGTTCATTTTCTTAGAATTATAAATAGCTATTAAGGCATTAATTCAGGGATTAGAATTTATAGTGAAGTGGTTTTTGGGGCTGGTACAACAGCTTGAGGCAGGCAGTAATGTTCAATCCTTGGTGCCTCTAGTTTTCTGATTAAGAATAATGTGTTGGTCAGTTTTCAGAACAAGGTTAGTGATGCACTACAGCTTTTCATTGTTTCTTGTTGCAGGTTCGAATATTGAGGAGCGTGTATCTCCCCATGCTTTCTAAAGTGTACCAGGATTTACTTATCGGACTTCAGGTAGATGATCTTTTTATACCATTGTTCTGGACAGTTTACTCAAATGCTGCCTTCATACTAGTTTCAATATATCGTATCACGTTGATTTTCTCCAGCATTATTCTTCTCTTCAGAATATGACGCCGGCTGATATAGAAAGAGGCACAATGGTAAAGAAAGTACTAGAGGAAATTTTTACGTGCTTAAATGTGTCCAAAAGCCAGATTAGTCCTGATTTCAAGTCAAAACTGGATCAAAAGGAAAGGCAAATCAATGCCATTCTACGCAGATTTATTTCTTCAGATCACAAGGGACCACATTCTACTGACAAAAGCTCGATACAACAGGCTGTTCCATCACAATCTAGAGTCTCGCAAGACAAATTATCTGGAGAGCAACTAACATTACCATCAATGGCCCTACAGATTTCTCATTCGTCAGAGCAAATTCCTAATCAAAACAAGATGAATCCACAGGTGAAATCAGCGAAGTCAGAACAAGACAACCCAGAGAAAATGATGCAGCAAGTGGCCAAGGAATATGGCATTTCCCATAAGCATGAAAATCCATTATCTGCAGTCACTTCTGATCAACCAAGTCCTGCAATTCAGCGCTTGGTCAAAGTGGTTAGTTCTAAAGCATACAATGTGCTCGCTCTTTTTCCCTATTCAATTTATGCATAGAAATTTCTTGTAGATGATACGAGGTGATATAATTATGATAAATTTTCAGGTGTCATCTATGTCACACAAATCATTAAGTGAATCTGTCAGTGAAATTAGAGATATAGTCCGTTTGTCTGATATATCATCGGAACCATTCAAGAGACCAAAGAATGTGATTTGCTCGAATTCGGTAGTAGATCTTAGTGCAGATTCACAATCAGGATACTCAAAATATGATTTTCTAAGAAGAGGCAGGAAGACTAGACGCAGCCATAATGCAATGCCATTATATGCTTCATTATATGCAAGTACGTCTGAATCATTAAATCCATTGACTGATGCTGATGAACGTGACTTAAACTCAGTCAGACCTCAAGTCAAGTGGCCTACGAATGAGGTAATGCATCTAATCTCTGGTCATTTATCATGAAGCAAGCTACCAAAGAATATGCCAAACACCCATCTGTTCTATTCTGTATTTATTAAGATTCCCATAAGATCTAATCCCTTTATAAGAATTATAAAAAAACTTGATAATCATCCCTAATATTGTCATCAAATTTGCAAGTTTTTGCGTCCTTAATTACTAAATGCTTTGCCTAAAAGTCAAGCCTAAAATCTATGATGTTGGTGACATTGTGTAAGTCACAAATGAATTTACACTCAATCAATCGATTGGAGCTTATAGTATATAATCTGAACAATGTAAAATTTCATCATTTCACTATCAATTTATCAAATCTTACTCAATAAAAATATTCCTCCTAGATTTATCGTTCCTCAGGTTATGCTTTTCAGTAACTTCGAAAAAATATCAATTTAACATTGCCCCTCTTGCTGATGTTAAGAGTGTTCTTGCTTATTCCTACAAGAATTTTTTAGTTTATTCTGCTTGATTAAGGATATGCCATGCCTGCAGGAAAAACATGCTCTTCTAGAAGAAATAAAGGAGGTGAAGAAATTATTGTTGGACACTAAGGTAGTTTTAAATGAAGCAGACATAATTCCAGGTGTCGTTGCAGGAGCTGCTGCTGAACAAGGCGATGGATTAATTGTGGAATTGTATTTCACAGGGGTAACTCTGAGTTTGGACCCTATTTCCCACCTTGTTTCCAATGAAATGGTAAGTATTTATCTTCTAGTATGAATTACCTTTTTTTTTTTTTTGGTGTTCCTATCATTCCCATTTGACTTCAGATCTTGGTCATGCAGTCAATAATCAAACCACTTCGGTTGCTTATTCCTACAAGTTATCCAATATCCTCTCCAATTCTTTTAGATGAAATGCCATCAGAATCCAGGTTTGAGATTCAGGCTCTGTTACTATCATTTATAACTTATTTTCCAATTTTTATGCAGGTGATATGTCTCCTTTACATAAATTTCACCTTGGCAGCTTGCTGGTGATTAGTCAATGAACCTGAATAACTTATTTGCACAAGGCGACTGAAATGGATTTGGTCATTTGGTGCATTTTTTTGTGCATTTTATTTCCTTAATAAAGAGTAAATTTAGAAGATGGGAAAAGATATGTAATGGTGTGTGAATTAATAAATAATAAATAAGAGATTCACATGGAAATACGATAGAAAGAAATATACCCAGATCCATTCCCCCTCTCAGATATAGCGTATGCCAAGTTGATGAAGGATTATTTCTTATCATGGTTGTGTTCTCTCAAGTCTTTCTTTTGGACTCTGTTGTATCTTGAGCTTCCTCTTCACCTGTTATTATTTTCGTTTGGACAGAGACAAGCCGGATGATCTGTTGACAAAAGCGAAACTGAAGCTCCAGCGTTCTCTTCAGAGTCTGACACATCCCTTCTCGATTAAAAACGTAGCGTTGTCATGGGAAACATGTGCCAGAGAAGCAATCTGTGATTATGCACAGAAGCTTGGTGGTGGAACTTTTAGCTCCAAATATGGAGGATGGGAGAAATGTTGCACCAGTGTTACTTCAACGTGCTCATTAGTCACCGATAAAGCAAGGGATTAGTCTTTCATATGGTGACGATACAAGGTGTAGTATGTTATGCATAGGGCAGCAAATGGACTTCTATACATGTAGTTGACATTACTATGAATTGCCTTTCAGGTTTTCTGTATCGTTATAATACTCCATAGATGTGCAGTTACGTTTTCACTTTTGGATACTTACATGTACAGCAGAAGCAAATATCCAACATTAATGTCCCATGAAATTTTAATCTTTATTACCAAATAAAGAGCAGTCTTTTTTTCCTACAAGAAACGCACTCAAATCTAGATAGGAGAAATCATTATCTTTCTTTCTTCTTTTTCCTGTATGCTCTACATCTACGGATGTTACTTGTGTGTGTATATTCTCTATCACGGAAGAGACTATCTGTAGTTATCAGGCTGTTATCTAATTTTCTTGATAATGCTTTTTATCCTAACCTTTCTTTCTGAAAAATATAGCTTATGTTTATGTTAAAGAAAGCTAGATCCTATGCAACGCACGGGAAAGATGATAAGTTAAAAGTTTTGTGGTAACATAATGTTGTAAATTAATTTTTTTTTTTTACCGACCTATCCTATTTTGCAATATTTAGATTTTATCGAAAAGTGTACAAAAGATCAAAGGAATATAAAATAAGAAAGATATCCTATTTGTAAATTGTAAATAGAACAGCTCTTTATAAATTGTATAAAAACCTCACAAAATGTAGCATTTTTTATTTGATTGAACAAATTTATATTTTCTAACAATTAAGCGTGTGATCCCAATCCCAATTATGCCTAACAAAGCTAATTTTATTAGAAGTTTTCGATGTTCTTGACTCCCAACTCTATCCTTTGATCAAGCCCATAAATAAATTGATTAATTAAATAGAAAATAAATAAAGAGGCCTAAACTGACTAACTTTTTCCTCCTTTTAATGCAAATTAAGTAACTATCCTGATTCTGCATCACTGGAACGAGCTATGGACCCCGTTTTGTTACCTAAAAGGCTAAAACTTGGCCTAAGTATATAAGGGGCATTCAATCGAAGAGGATATCCTCGTTTGATTCCAAATTGGAATACTGTATTGAGAAATTTCAGATTAGCCAATGAAATTAGTTAAACAAAAAGAATAGAGTAAGAAAATGACAGAAAAGAAAACAGAGAATGGGTTAAAGAAAAGAGGAAGAAGGATTCACAAAGTGAGATGTTTACTATTCTTTTCAACACTATCTACCTCTCCTCGTGCTACTGTATGTAATATTCATCATCTACCCTCAGTTTCCATGTCTTCTTTCGCTCACGTGTGCTTCGCCGTGTTCCATTTTCCTCATTTTCCCCATGCTTGTCCATTGTGTCATCTCCATGGGCCATTTTGATCGCTCTATTTTGGTCATTTTTCATGTGCTTGTCCTCCGTGTCATCTCCATTGGCTATTTCGCTCGTTCTGTATTGCTCATTTTCCACATGCTTGTCCATTGTGTCATCACCATGGCCTATTTCATCTCTACCAGCTATTTTGATAGTTATGTTTTGCTCATTTTCCGCATGATTGTCCATTGTGTCACCTCCAGGAGCTATTTCATCTCCATCACGTATTTTGATTGTTCTGTTTTGGTTATTTTCCGCGTGCTTGTCCATTGGGTCATCTCCATTGGCTATGTAGCTTGTTCTTTTTTGTTCATTTTCCACATGGTTATCCATTGTCTCATCTCCATTAGCTATTTCCATGCTGTCAGCCTAGTTCATAACAGACTGTTAAGCAAAATATATGTACGAGGAAAACACTCAAAAGTACCATGTAAAACATCAATATTAATAAGCATACTCAATAATAGCACCATTATAGAAATAACATCCCAAATGTTAACCACAAATCAATATGTTCTACAATTTCGAATATCAGTCATCTTGAAATTGGTCATAAAAGATGGGGAAAAAGTAAACCAACCTTCTTAGCGAGACCATGACCAGACATGACTTCATAAAGCTTGCGCATAAGCATTTCTTCTTCCACCTATATAAGAAGACGTCTAGCAGTCAAGGATGATAGTTTACGATTGAGTTTATGTAGCGAGTTTAAAACAGACCATGCCAAAACAATTCTAGTATACTAAATTTATCTCCAATCTCCAACAGGGTTCCGTGCCAAAACAAACCATTCACTTACAACCAGTATAATACTCTAGACGTTTTATATTTTTAAATTGGCATTAAACATGCGATAAAAAAACAAGACGTGACCGATGAAACCAACAAAGGTTTAAGGAAATAACAATCAGATAAAGACTAAACCTTGACAACCCAGAATATGACCCTACCAGCAACAGGGTTACTCAATTCCCAATGTAAAAATAGAAGTTATCATTCATTTAAGTTTATTTCATTCTCTCTAGTCAATATGAATGTTAGTAGCTCTGGCCAATTGGAAAAAAACGTGAGCACAAGCATGCTTCCCAACAAACAGCCGAAATTCACGTAGAAGTGCAGCATGGAGATGATAAATCAGACAAGAAACTGGTGAATAGTAAATAAAATTATCTCAATCTTTTCATTAAGGAAATAAACAAATAAAATCATCACTAGAGCTATGAACTATTTGTAGTAACTAGTAAAACTGAAGTGAGCACATTTAGAGCTATGTAGATAGCCTTGTCTAAAGTAACAAATTTACTGTCAGAAAACAGTATCACAGTTGACAGTGTAAAAATAAAGTAGTTCATCTTATTTTGTTTCTTACAAGTTGCAATTACATCTTCGAGCCTTCATCATCCTTACAGGGAGATAAAAAACCTATGGCAAAGCCACATTCCTCGTCTAACCTAATTCACAAAGCCCTCAAGTTGATAAATACAAAATCTATTTAACTGGGAAATGGAAAGTACCACAGCTTTCACAAGTCTAACCTGAATTAGATAGAGATCATGCTTCAACAACAAAATAAAGAAAGCTTTTCTCTTCTCCTTTGATAGAAAAGCAATGAGTACGGCAGGTAGATGAAAATGGTGTAAAACTAGAAGCCCTAATCAACAGGAGAAATTAAAGAAAGATAGAAAAAACCTGAAGATTTTGCAGCTGGTTAAACATTAACCTATAGGAGTCCATAAGGAACTCGTGCTGCTTATCCAAATGCCTGTTAATGACATGATCAAAACCATTAGATTTAGGAAGGGGGTAGGGGGAATAAATTTAATGTTAAAAGCATAATTTCAAGGATTACTTCAGTAACTCTCCGGAATGATTTGGGTCAAGCTGATTAGGCTCCATCCTAGGACAAGGAACAAACAAAGCCAGCAACAGGTTACTCCAGGCTAGAATAAAAAAAGGAACGCACTTTGCAGGTAGTCTTCTTCAAGTAGAAATCACAAATTATTAAGCAGAAAGAACAGTAAACTACCATCTATTTTGAACCAAAAGTATATTTTGTATACTAAATATTTGATTTTTTATATTGAGCCCGTTGAAATGGTGGGACAAACAATTGAAACGAGAGTTCGAGAAAAGTTTACATTAATCCAACATCAGTATTCAACAAATTGGAAAAAAAAGATATTAGCTCAATAATATCAGTTTCATAAATAGTAAGTAGAGCTACTAGGCAAAGAGCTTTCCAATTGAAACAAGCTTACGGGATACACCTTTCCAGAATTTCAATTCGGAATACTTCGGTCTCCTAATCTTAAGAATTCAACATGACACACAAACAAATCGCAAACCAGATAATACGTTCTATTCAGAATCACAATTTTGCAGAACCACTTCAGCGAACAAGCTCAAATCAACCTTTTTTTTCCCCTAATGGAAAAAAAAGTCGTTACACTGGAGAAGAAATTTCATTATAACAGAAGCTGTAAAGATACAAAGAAGGACGCTTACTTGCTGCTTCGTCGCCTTTAAAACCTATAGCCCTTCGGCGATCACGAACCGATTGTACAGCAAAGTTCCTTGGCCGGAACGACGCAGATGTGCGGGAGAAAGTATTTCAACATATAATAATAATAATAATAATAATAATAATAATATTAACTTTTTTTCATCTATTAAAAAAATTGACTAATTAATTAAGTTTATCTGATTAATGGCTTTTATTGTGGATAATCTTTATATTTTACAGAAAATAACAAATTTTAATTAATTATTATTAATTTATATAAGTCTGTTTTTTAATATAAAAACTAGATAAATAATTTGTGAATATTAAAAAATTAGTTAAATTGGTTAAATGTGATAAATAGATATTGTTTTCTGTAAAATTTCCTCATTAATCAAGCATATTAGAATTATTATTTGATAGAACTTCTAACATATACAATTATCATATAGATTACTTTAAAAAAATATATATAAAGGACAAAGTAAATTGAAGTATTATACTAGTAGTTAGAACCAAATTAAATCTTTAATTATCTCTTATACTGCCTACGATCTTTAATATAAGAGTTATTTTGACATTTAATTTGATCTTACATATAAGAACTCAATTCATTTTATCTATCACATTTATTCATTTTTTCCTAGATAATTTTTATAGTAATTGCACATGTTAAATGTTTCATCAAAAAATAATTCTAATTAATACACAACATATTTATTATAAATAACTAACTTAACAATTTTTTTAATTTATTCAAATTAATCAAGTATCACTTATCTCATATTAAGTGGTCAACAGTATAAAATTACCGTTAAGTGTTTATAATAAGCATTGCAGGGAGTACCTGATGTTCATCTAATGTCTAAAACATGTCTTCAAAACAGGACAAATTTAGTTTGATTGCATAAGTGAGAATATATTGGACGGGAAAAAAATTCTAATTTGTATAATAAAATGTTTAAATATTATCTCTAATCCTAGTTATAAGTACAAACGAGTTTTTATAACTAGGAAAAAAGATAAGTACAAACGAGTTTTTATAACTAGGAAAAAAGATAATACTGAATAAAAGGTGGTGAGTAAGATACTTGGGGATATTAGTACTTTGTATGTATGTATATATATACTCCTCCTATCCTTAATATAGGACTCAATTGTTGAGTTGGTTTTTGTCATAAATATAAAACTCATTTTTTATATTTATCAATTTTTTTTAAATGACCCCTATAGATACTCTCTCAACCATAATCAAGTAAAAGAGGAAGATGAGGTATATTAAAAAAGATGATTATGATATTTTAGAAAAAATGTGTCACATTTCTTATAATTAACTAACTTACCTAACTTTTTTAATTTAATCAAATTAGTTAAATAGGTCTTATATTAAAGACCGGAAGAGTATATATATATATAAACATTTTGCAAAAAAAAAAATTATTTATTAATTATAAATAATAGCGAGATAAATAAATACAAACCGTTATTCTCCCGCTAAAAAGTCGCTCTTCTGCAACGAGAGAGAGGAAATGACAGTGGGAATGAGCACTTCAGCTCTAAGTTTGTGCCATCGATGGCCTTCTCTTTCACTAAAGCTCGCCAAAGCTCCATCGTCTTCTCCACCGCCATCTTCCTGTGCTCGGGTTTCATGCCCTGGTCATCAGCCTCAGCTTTCTTTATCTCCGGTTGACAGAACCCTTAGCCAGATCAATAATTCTGGTGTTGTAGCTTGTCTTCGGGCCACTAGGTGTATCTCTATTGCACCATTTTCAAATTTTAAGTGCTTTGACGCTATACTTTTTTGGTTTTAGATAGAATTTAACTTCTGGTAATTAATATTCCGGTTTTAATTCCTCTTCTTCCCTTTACTTTGGTTTTTGGTTTTCATGCATGAAATATAGCTTTGCCCATTTGTATATTTTTGGGGTTTCATTTCTTTAATGCTGATCGCTTTGGTGTGGAGTTCTTAATTCTTTATTCTTTCCAATTTGGTTCAGTTCGCTGGTTGAAATTGCATTTGACTGTTCTAAACTTGGTCTAGTAAAATGATGTGTGTATTGGTATCTCATCTTTGTATTATTCTTCTATGGCTTACTTTATGATCTTCTATGGTCACTGCCGACTCATTTTATATTTTTCGCTGATATAGTGCAGAAGTGGCCTTAGAAGCTGCGCGTGCTGCAATAGAAGGAGGAATTTTAGTTGAGTTTCCTTCTTATTTTCCATTCTCCGAATCATTTTTTTAACTGCAAAAAATAGGCTTGCTTCATCTGACAAAATATTTTCTTAAGTTTCAAGTTAATCTTAATATATGAATACTCTGGAGTGCTCTTTGGGAATATAGTTGGAAGTTACTGTCCCTTGTGGCATTTCCCAAGCTATGAACTACTTCAGAGTCTTGAATTAGAAGTTCAACAACGAATTGCTAAGAAAAAAGAAGGCATCTGATAAAAATTGTCGATGTTTAGAAATTTCACAAGTCAAATAAAATGGTTCTTCTTGGTTGACATTTTGAGAAATAACTAATATTATAAATAGATTTTCTTTTCTTTTCTTAATTTTTATTATACGTTAAAAATGTGCTCTACTCTTTCTTGTAATGATTAGTTACTCATCAATCAACATACTTTTTTCCTCTGCAAATGCAGTTGGAGGTTGTGATGTCTACCCCGGGTGTATTCGAGGTGTTTACTCAAGCTTTTCTTTTTATTTTACCGCACTTGCACTGAGCATATAAGTTATCTGCTTGTGGTCGGAATCTGTAGGTTCTACGGCAGCTGGTAAAGGAGCATCCTGCAATGGCTCTAGGAGTATGCTTCCATCCTTTAAAGTTTCTGGTTTCTCACATGCCATTAATGCATTTTTGAATGTGTATTAAGTCTATAAATGCAGAGATATTGTCCCTATATTCTCTGATTTGGCATTTCAAAGAGTTTGTCTAGAGGGAGTGACCTGATAACCAAATTGGTTGAAAGTTGACAAATACTCGCTTGTGCTTCACGCATTATACATGCAAATTGATAATTTAGTATTGAAGTCATATCCATTAAAGTTTAGGAGGGGTCAAACCTAACTAATAATGCAGTATGAGTCGGTATAATTCTTACATATTTTAATATTTAGTAATTGTGCAAGTGGTGTTGAGAATTTGTAAATTTGTTATTCGGCAGTCATAACATTGTAGGATTTAATCAGGAATCTGCTATAAAGGTAGTTTGAGAATTCTTGGGCATATCCTACTTTATTTATCAGTAAAGGTCAAATCTTAATAGAGTATCATTAACATTCCTCGTTTGAGTTTATGTTACTATGTTTTTCATACAAAACATATTGAATTCTTTTTTCATTTTCTTTGGTTCCTCTTTCTGTTCTACTTAGCTTTGTAAATAGTTTCAATGAAGTTCCCCTGAACTCTGGAAACTACGTCTGATTAAATGCTGTCTTGAAACTGTGTGAGAACATTGGGATATCTTGGAATTGTTGAAAAAACATTGGTAAGATGGAAAATTTTGGTTGGTTGTATTTCATAAACTTAACATTTTTCAAATTTATCTGCATCCTTTGATTTTTGTGGGTGTCCTATTTGAAGTTCTTACTATTTGATCTCGTATTTAGATGATTACGACTATAAACAATTTTCAATATTATTGACTTTAGTTATATTTCTTTTCCAGTGTAGTCTGAGCCAAAGAGATCTTTTTCTATGACATAGGTTGGGACAGTTCTCAGAGTTGAGGATCCAAAAAATGCAATAAATGCTGGAGCCAAATTTCTCATGAGTCCTGCAATTGTGAAGGTCTTAAATTTTACCATGTGTATACTCAGGCATGAAATTACTGACAATTGTTGTTCAACTGATAGCCCAATGTAAATGGACATACTGGGATGTTTTATAAGCCACTGAAGCTTTTTTTCTCAGGACATAATGGATTATGTTTAATGCAGTGAGAGTTTATATATTCCTGGTGCAATGACTCCAACTGAAGTAAGATTCAGCGTTCAAGCAATTTATGAATCTTTGCATGATCTGTTCTTGCGCAATTAGTGTTCATTTTTTCTTTAGTCAAGCATTGTATATGCCTTCCGTTGACTCTCAGTGTATGTAATGCAGATATTATCTACTTATGAAACAGGAGCCAAAATAATCAAGGTGGGTATTTTCATTATCTTATTTTCTTCCTTAGGCTGAAGCATATTGTGATACATAATTGTTTTATACTTTAGTCATGTGTAAAATATGAGCAATTCATGAGAAGATGAGTTTCTTATGATTCTCTTCCCTTGTTGATTAACAAGAATCTTATTTTTCGTGTATTTCAATATAATCATTCCATGAGTCTTACATTTACCTAGTGGAATAGGTTTATTCAATTTCTGCTCTTCCAAGAGTTCGGTACATATCAGCACTCAAGAAGCCCTTCGCTCAAATCCCATTGGTTGCTTCTCAGGGCATAACAATAGGTACTTTTGCAGTTTTTTTTGTCTTTTTTGGGTGAGTTAGGTACTTTTTTACTTTTGTAGCCAATCATCTTCCAAATCAGGCTACTTCACACTTAATTCAATAACTTAGAGATCAAACTTAATACTAACGCTTGTATGTCTTTGGAATTTGTCGGGGAACCATAGTCAGTAATACGCATGTCAGCTTCCCTAACAAGAGAATTTTTGTGTAGTTATTAGTTGTCTATCTGTCCATAGGGGCCTATGGTGGAGCTGGATCTGCAGAATATTCCTCATGGCTAAGCATACTTGTATTCAGAATCCCATATTAGGCAGTAAATAAGCAGTGAAATAGGAATACAACATGAATATATTTGACTGTCTGTGAAATTATTTCTTCTATTTATTTTTCCCCGTAAAAAGCAGTTCTGGGCAGTTAGTAAACCCATAAGCAGTTGCTTCCTGGAAACATGGTTGCTCCTTTTAGGAAAAGCTTTCTGTTGCATATTTTGACTATCCGTATGTGAACTGCAATATATGTATGCATCTTAATCAGTAGATCGAGTTGTTGCCATTTGTCATGAGTCTCTATTGCAAATGAATTTTCTAACTGGTTGTAGATTCAATTGGGGACTATATTAGGCAAGGCACATCATCAGTAGTCCTATCAGATGCCATATGTGATAAAGAAGCAATTGGACAACATAATTTTGAAAAGATATTTGAACTCGCTCGCTCTGCAGCTCTTCTGGCTCATAATGCCATGAAACGGTGAAAATTTGCACTTCTGTAATTACACAGTTTCTGACTTTCTACTGCTTTCTTAGCTTTAGCCATAAATGTTGTTAATATGGTTACTGCACTTTTCTTAATCATTGTAGTGAGAATTTGTAAGATCACTTAACCTACCAGAAACGGATGATAAATGATGATCCAATCCAATGGCATTGTGATTAAAGACGATGCCTTGCAGTTTTGTCTGGCTAACGTGTGGGTTCTTACCAGCTTTTTTATGTGTTGCTTGCAGGAGAAAAGAAGAACTATAATGCACATCAATTGAATTTGAAGCTACAGGCAATTTTCTCTCTAATCATCGTTGCTCTACTCCAAGCAGCACAATCTTCTCATGACTTGATAATGCACATGCATGCATTCTAGTCCAGATGAGAATGTTGAGCTGAAAGATTTGTTTTTGCCCATTTTTGTATTTAACATGGGTTCTTTTCGGCATAAAGCCCTGTTTTTTTAAGGACTTCTGTATATAATTTATGATGTATGATGTTAAGTTATAATATTCTGGTTTCCCTTTATGATGTAGGCTTTACACACACACACACATTATTGTCATCGCAGGACAATAAAATATATAAAAGGAGGATGGAGTCTCCCTCTTTCCTTTTGTGATTTGTTTTCTAACCTTGCTTCCTCTTGTTTACTTGTTCTGGATTTTATCTCGGACACATTGATCGTTGCCATTTCTGAATAAGTTACTTCCATTTCTTATAAAGATTCATTGATCTGCCAACAATTTTACATCGAGCCAACATCCAAAGACTACATTTAAACTGGTAAATTGAGTATCATACAGTTAAGACTCAGATAGGTTCTAAGCCGGCAATTTTACATCAATGTAGCATCCAAAGACTACAGTTAAAACTGTGCAGACATGACCCGCAAAGTCCAATATTGCAAGAAGCTCAGTAGCATAGCTTGATAACACGAGATACCCTTTGAAAAAAGATGGGGCACATACTGGTGCTGAACATGATATCCTCTCTCATCCATTCTGGTGCCACTTTTTCAAATGTGCCCAGAGATAAAACATGATATACAAGCTCTACTTCCTCTCCAGGAGCTTTGCTTACCCAAGTCAAGTTGAAAGAATAACCTACCATAATGACAAGCAGTTGTCAGTAACATGTCAAATGGCAATAAATTCTATCGAAAAAATTAATCCAAATACTCTCCCCTAGAACTTTGAGCCACTTGCAAAATAGCCTGTCAACTTTCAAAATTAGAAAACACCTCCCTCTGCCACAGAAGTCAATACAAATCAACTTCATTAAACCATGACATGTCTCCCATTTCTTACATTTTCCATCTTCTAAAACGAATTTGATACGTTATCGGAAAAAAAGGGCCATTAACAAAGTGAAAATTAATTAGATAAACGGACTGCACATTTTCCAGAATCCTCCATCATAAATTCAGATGAAAACCATGTACTCAAGCATATTAAGGCACACATGTCAACTCAGAATCAAACTTTGAGACATAAACTATTAAAATCAAAATCCACTAAAAATTCAAAAAATCAGTTCATTTAAAAAATTAAAAATTGAAAAAATAATAGAATTACCACTTGATTGATGGAGGGCGGAAATGCATACTCGTTCAGTTTGATAGTCAGTGGATAATTTCATGCCCAGGACATGCTCGAAAAGAGCTTGAACTAGCCAGTTTCTTTCCTGCAAATTAACACCTGCTGAAAGAAAAGGTTAACAAAGTATGCCAGTGAAAAAATTCATAGGAAGCAGCATATACTTTAACTAACAACACCAACCTGATTGGTCACTGGCCCCAGAACCACATATCAGCTGCTTTTTTACAACATAACATCAGCGCATCAAAACATACATATTTCCCAAATCAAATTGATAATTGAGATGTGCATATATATTATGATTATGAGTGAATAATTGCATAGAGGCACAAACTTATCAATGCGTGTTTGCATTTCTCAGATGTTAAAGGCTCACCTCAGCAATGGCAGTCTCATTGCATAAGTTTTGTGCTGCTGAGTCTCGTGCCACAGAATTGTCTGCAGCATTTCCGTATGGTGTAGACCTATCTATTTCTTCTGATGCATCATTCCTAGCACGTTTCCTAGTCCTTCTCATGGATGAGGTATTGGATAGAGCACGAAGCTCATCATCTTCATGCATTTTATTATTGTTTTGCTTCAAGTTACCAGAATGTCCATCCGGATGTAGCTTTTGGAATTTCTCAATTTCTTCAATTAGAGCCTCATCTGCCAAAAGTTCAAACTCCTGAGTCTTGAATATGAAAGAGGAATTGATAAAAATGAAAGGAAGAGAGCAAGAGAGTGGATGAGGTTACTATGTAAAGTTTATAAGCAGTCATGTACTTCCCAAGAAAACACAGTCACGATACAACAATGAATCAACATTGACATTGAAATTCTGAGGACATAGTTCGACTTATCACTTTTGTAGCTATCGGAAGAGTGACTCTTACTCTACCCTTTTAGTAAGGATTTAATTTAACCAGAAAGTATGAAAAGCCAAACATGGTTTTAGACAAGTGACACGCTAAGAAACTCAAGTGTCTCACTTTTCTTGCTCTCCTCCATTACAAGCCTTTGATAGTCAGCAACCTCTTTGTCTTTGGCACGCCTAACATGGTTAATATACATTCAGCCCTCCAAACAAAATACAAAATACATCAATATGAACAAAAGAACAAAATCTGACCATGAAACGAAGCAGCAAAGAAAAGTGAAAGAAAGAGAGCAGAAGATGGAAATTCATGCCTTATCGAAGCAACTTCACTTCTCAAATCATTTACTTGTTCATGCAACCAGTTATTTTTGCCCTTCAAGTGCTCTATCAAATCATCTGCAGCTGAAATAGTGAAGTACAATAAGAGATGGTTAATAAGTAGTGCAAGAGTGCTTAAGCTGTTTGAACCAAGAGAACCAGAAGAAGAATTCTAAATGAAAAGTACCAAATATAGAAATAGTTTTGCAGAACTCAGCTGCTGTGCCTAGCTACTGGACACAGCTCAATGCAATCAAATATTTTGCATCACACTTGAAAAAAATATATGCCAAAGCTAAAGAGGGAAAAGGAGGAAAAACAGGTCAGAGTCAGAAACCCGGAATTTAAAAAGCAGCAAATGGTGTTTGCAAGACCACTTGAACATGAATTCTAGGAGCCATTTATATCGGGCTGAAATTCAAAATGTATTGCAAATTCTTGGTAAACTCATATTATCATAAATCTATAATTGCGGTCTTCAGAAACTTCAAGAAAGGAATCTATGTGATAAGCATAAGAAGATACATACCAGACATAAACTTTATAAATTTAACTTCTTGATCTTTATTTATCTGATCAAACTCAGAAAGTTTCTTAGCCTGGAACAAGAAAGAAAATTATGAATCAATAACAAAACCAAACTCACGTTTGTTTGCTGCATCATTCACCAAATGAAATATCAATTTTATTCACCCTTGTTCATCTCAAAGCCTTAATTCACACCCAAATGCAATGTTTTTTTAATTTTCCGAAATAATGAATCAATTTTTTTAAAAAATTTGAACATCAACATCAAATACCTCAAAACATCTTTCCTTTATGCTGTGAGATTATTTAATAATAAATGACATAAAAAAAACCAGTCAATGTGAAGGTACAAAACTAGCAACTTAGAGTTAGCATCAACAGAGAGTCAGAGACCTTTAGCTTGGTATACTTGTCATAGAGCTTGGAGTACAGAGCCTCCATTTATGAATGGTAACTGCAGCTGCTGCTGTTATGGAAGAAACCCAATGTGGCCGGGATCAGAGAATCAATCAGGCACCAATGAGATCAATTGCATCAGCGAGCAGCTGTTGCACATAAAATTAGCAACGCAATTAAATTCATAGCATCTTGAACTTGAAATGAAAGTTAAGAAATGGGAAATAGAAGAAACCCATAATAATCCAAATAAAGCATTGGTTAGTGAGGAACTAGAAATATGGTCAACTGCAGAAAAAACTTCCAAGTTCCAACTGCAACCATTCAAAGCTTTGAAGAATCAGGTTCTATGGTTTGAGTTAGGCCAAAATTATTCCAAAATAACATCGAACTAGTAGAGTTCATTACACGCATGTTGATCATGCACGATAATCACCCAACTCACTAGCACAACGTCCCCCAAATAGCCCTACTTCAACAAAAGGGAGCGGGTGTGTGACTGAAACATATGGATAAGGGAATGAGTGTGTAAATCTAGGAAGTATTAGAATACCAGCACAGCCAAGGACCCTTCAACTTAAGGAATGATGAAAATAAGAGGCTAAAGGGAATGAAGATCACACATGATTGAAGACCTACGGCTAAGGGAGTGAGATGAGATTATGGACCTCACTGAGATTCACAAGCCCCCGGCAACAAAGCTGCAAAATCAAGATTCAAGAAGAGAGTGTGTGGCTGAAAGATTGACCCATTGAGATTGAGGGATTGGGATTAGGAGGAGAGGACAGGCCACGGATTGTGTGGTGTCGAGCAGAGACAGAGCACCGGATGAGACGTGCTATGGCTGAGATATTCTACGACCGACGGCGTGCCGCGTGTGTGAAGCTGTGACGTGTGAGGGTGAGGCAGTGAGCGCCAAGCCAACGACGGTGAGAGCAAGGCGTGAGGCCGCCGTGAGCGGGGAGACTGACCCGATGTTTGTTGGGCATGAGGGGGGATTGGAGGGGGGAAATGGAGGGAAAATTTAATAAAGATGAATTTAAAAAGTTGGAAAATATTGATAAAAATATACAAAATAAAACAGCAAAAAAAAAATTAAAGGCTGGCAAAAAAGGGAAAAAATTGTTTTGTTTTTTAACTTTTTAAACTGGGCTTATTAAATTCTTGTTGTCTTTTCTTTCATTTTCTTCTGTCTCATTTTTCTGGTACCAAACAACTAAAGGTCAAGTATTAGGCAAAACATAGAGTCGTAATTTTTTGAGAGAATGAAAGTGGGAACCAAATTTATCCCATCTGGATCGTTTAAATATGATCTTGATAGTACTTATTTAATTTTTTTATTTGTTAAAAATAATTATTTAACTATCAATTTATTAAAAAATTATTTTGTTTATTTAAAAATAGTTAGTTAAAACATTCTTTGCCAAGTGGGATGAGCTTGGACTAGTTCCGAGTCCTAGGGGACATTGGAGAGGCTTGGGGGCTAGGTTTTCTAATTTCTAATAATTAAAAAAGTACTCTCCTGATTTTTAAAACGTGACTTAATTATTGAGTTAAATTTAATCATAAATATTAGACCTATATTTCATATTTATTAAAAAAATTAAATTAGTCTTATGAATCCGTCAACAATAATTAAGTAGGAGAGGGGAATGATATTAAGGAAAATGATCATGATATTTTAAGAAAAATATTTCATATTTTTTATAATTAACTAACTTATCTAACTTCCTTAATCTAATCAAATTAGTTAAATAGGTCTTATATTAAATACCGAAAAAGTAATATTTATTACTGAAAAATAAATTAAAAACCTGTAAGAAAATATCAAACTAGTCAAGCTCTCTTACATTGCATGTGATGAACCGCTTTAAAGTTTAATCTTGATTAGCTTGCCATACTTTTTTATTTAGCATTTGCTTGACATTGACATCCATGATATCTCCAAAGAAATTTGATAAATGAAAATGATGATGTCTCAAATCTTAAACGATGGTCTAAAATATAATTTAAATGATCATTTTAATCTCTTATATTTTAAATAAAAATTAGGGTTAATATAATTTTTGGTTCCTTACGTTTGTCTTTGTTTTGGTTTTGGTCCATCAAATTTTAAACCATAGGTTCTAGTCCTTGTAAAAGTAAAATGATCTAAGTTTTTATCATGGTACAAAAAATCGGACCAGACAGGCCGATTCAGACCGAAAATTGGTGAACCGGTTATTGATCCGATCTAGTTCAGTTTCTGAACTAGATCCCAAGTAACTTGGGAAAAACAGATACGAACAGGTAAAAAACTGATGAAACCGAGCAAACCGCTGGGTCAGGTGAGTTGACTGGTTTTTTTTTTTTTTGGGAGGTATGCATGAACAAAGGAGAAGAAGAAAAAGAAGAATGGGAAATAAAAGAAACAAAAGGGAGAAATAGAAGAAAGAGAAATAAAAACTGTGAAAACCCGTTTTAAAGCATCGTATATTGCATGTTGCAGCGAGATACATGGACGAGAGGGGATGATCGAAAGGGATGCAGAGAAAAGAGTGAACGGTGGCAAGGGAGAGGACCAGCGAGAGAACCAGGGACAAGTGAAAGGAAGGATGCTTATCGGCTACAACTAGTTAGATTCAAAATGGCTACAATATTTACTTCTCTCATTATCACCGTTCAATTTCAATCTCTCACCAGCTCCCGCAGTTACCGATGCCCCGATTTGGAAGAGAGTGCTAGAACAATTATTCAAGCTGACTTTTTTTTTGGATAACTACACCTGGTCCTGTAGAAGGTCAGAAAGTGCATTGACCTGAGAGTTTGTATACTCTTTTTTGTGAAAAAAAATTATCAGTGGGATGTAAGGAATTATAAAACGCAAATCTTTACTAATTATTATCCAAAAACAATCAATATAAGTATCTTTTTTCGTATATTATTTTTTGAAATATTTTTCAAACCCTTTATACATCATTTAAAATTATTATATATTATATTTATCTTTATATATTTATTATTATTATCATCTAAAATAATCAATGTATATTTGTTGGCAAAAAAATGGCTAATGTATATTTAAAATGTATTATTTTAATTATGACTAGTTTGATCCCGGGTTAATCTCGAATTGAACTACTAACCCTTAAACCACTTGCTCAACTGGTTCAATTACCGGTCTGATTTTTTGAACCTTGATTTTTATTAGATTATAGGAATTAATATTATAAATAAACAGAAAGTTGCGAGACCAAAATTTATAATTTAAAAATTAACCCTAAAAATTATAAGTGAAATTTTATAAATTACAATTCAATATCCATATACTTGTTGTAACCTTTTTGTTATATTCGTACTTCAAATTTATAATCCAGTGCCCAATTTTCTTCCGACCGAGCGATTGACGGGAAAGGACCGCCATAACTCCTCCCGTTTGTCATCTTTACAAAAAATCTCTATCTCTGGGAAGTGGGAAGGGGGACTGGGAGCTGCATAGGAATTCGAAGAAGGCACTTGTGAACTGGAGAATGAATCTTGAGTGAGAGACATAACAGCAAAGAATGAGCTCGCAGCTATTGACTCTTCTTCCTCCACCACCACCCATCTCCAAAAAAATTTCATCTCCTTCATCTCAATCCTCGGTACCGTCTTCCACATCCCATAATAATAATCTTTACGAAAGAATTTACATCCCTTCTCATGTCTACAGACACCCTTCTTCTATCCTCTTAGAACTCTGCACTTCCATTAAAGAACTCCACCAAATGTTGCCTCTCGTTATCAAGAATGGCTTCTACCATGAACACCTCTTCCAGACCAAGCTTGTTAGTTTGTTTTGTAACTATGGTAGCATCGGTGAGGCTGCTCGTGTTTTTGAGCCAATTGAACACAAAATCGATGTGCTTTACCACACTATGCTCAAAGGGTATGCCAAAAACTCAACTCTAGGCGATGCTTTGTCTTTTTATCATAGAATGAAATTGGATGATGTTAGACCTGTTGTTTATGATTTTACCTATTTGTTGCAATTGTGTGGTGAAAAATTGGACCTCAAGAGGGGTAAAGAGATTCATGGGCAGTTAATAACTAGTGGGTATGAATCGAATTTGTTTGCCATGACTGCGGTTGTGAATTTGTATGCAAAATGTAGACAGATTAATGAAGCATACAAGATGTTTGAGAGAATGCCGCAGAAGGACTTGGTTTCTTGGAATACAGTAATTTCTGGGTTTGCACAGAATGGCCTGGCCAAGACAGCTATAAAGTTGGTCTCAGAAATGCAAGAGAGCGGTCTGAAGCCTGATTCTATCACATTGGTTAGTGTTTTGCCGGCTGTTGCAGATATCAAGTCTTTGAGAATTGGAAAGTCTATTCATGGCTATGCCTTGAGATCTGGGTTTGGATCTTTCGTCAACGTCTCAACCGCCCTTGTAGATATGTATTTCAAATGCGGGTCAGTGAGAGAGGCAAGGTTGGTTTTTGAGGGGATGAATAGTAAGACTGTTGTTTCATGGAATTCCATGATTGATGGCTATGGACAAAATGGCAAATCTGAAGAAGCGTTTGCAACTTTTCTGAAGATGTTGGATGAGGGGGTGGAACCTACAAATGTTACCATAATGGGAGCATTACATGCCTGTGCTGATTTAAATGATCTTGAACGTGGGAAATTTGTTCATAAATTATTAAATGAATTAAAATTCAATTCTAATGTGTCAGTTATGAATTCTTTAATATCTATGTATTCCAAGTGTAAGAGAGTTGATATTGCAGCCACGTTGTTTGATGGCATGCAGGAGAAAACACAAGTGACTTGGAATGCCATGTTATTAGGTTATGCACAAAATGGTTTTGTAAATGAAGCTCTAAATCTGTTCTGTAAGATGCAATCTGATGATATAAAACCAGATTCTTTTACATTTGTGAGTGTGATTACTGCTCTTGCAGATTTATCAGTTACCCGCCAAGCAAAGTGGATCCATGGCCTTGTTACAAGAACTTGTTTAGACGGGAATGTCTTTGTTGCCACTGCTCTTGTAGACACGTATGCAAAATGTGGAGCCATACAAACAGCGAGAAAACTTTTTGATGCAATGGAAGAGCGACATGTGATAACATGGAATGCGATGATTGATGGGTATGGAACACATGGCCTTGGAAGGGAAGCTTTGGACCTATTCACTGAAATGTTGAAGGGCTCTGTTAGACCAAATGACACTACATTTCTGTCTGTTATCTCAGCTTGCAGCCATTCAGGTTTGTGGAAGAGGGCCTTGACTACTTTGAAATCATGAAGGGAGAATATGGCCTAGAGCCTTCAATGGATCACTACGGTGCCATGGTTGATCTCCTTGGTCGAGCTGGACGGCTCGATGATGCTTGGGACTTCATTCACAAAATGCCTACCGAGCCAGAGATTAATGTTCTAGGTGCTATGCTTGGTGCTTGCAGGATCCATAAAAATGTAGAACTAGGGGAGAAGGTTGGTGACAAAATTTTCGAGCTAAACCCAGATGACGGTGGCTACCATGTGTTGCTTGCGAACATGTATGCCTCTGCTTCCATGTGGGACAAAGTGGCCAAGGTAAGGACAGCCATGGAGAAGCAAGGGATTCAGAAAACTCCAGGCTGCAGTTTGGTGGAACTGAGAAATGAAGTTCACACATTCTACTCTGGAAGCACCAATCACCCACAATCCAAAAGAATCTATGCTTATCTTGAGAACCTAGGAGATGAGATAAAAGCTGCTGGTTATGTGCCAGACACAAACTCTATTCATGATGTAGAAGAAGATGTGAAGGAGCAATTGCTGAATAGTCATAGCGAAAGGCTTGCCATTGCATTTGGACTTCTAAACACAAGGCCTGGCACAACAATACACATAAGGAAGAATCTGAGAGTCTGTGGTGATTGCCATAATGCAAGCAAGTACATTTCACTTGTGACAGGGAGGGAAATCGTTGTGCGTGATATGCGCAGGTTCCATCATTTTAAGGACGGGAATTGTTCTTGTGGAGATTATTGGTGAAGCAATGATTGATTGCCTTGTTGTTGTGATCAGTTCATGAGAGATTTTAGGGTAGACTTGGATGTACAACAAGGTATTTTTGTAGATACTAATTGTAAGAAACCATAACTTGAACTAGTAAAATATTAATAGTGAATAATGAATCTCAAGGTGACCTTCAAGGCATTCAACCTCCCTACAAACTCTTAATCTTGAAACCTCCATGCTTGTAATTGGTGTATGAGCACATTTCTTTTTCTTTGTTTATTTTTTTCTTTGAAAAAAAAGAAGAAGAAAGAGAGTTTAAGTAAGTTGGCTTCGATGGCTTATTAAGATAAGGGCATATCTCGAGGTATAAAAAGTACTTATACGAGGATTTATGGATTGCTCACTAATGAAATTTTCATATTTATAATGAGATTCAAACCTACATCCTTGTGAAATATGAGGCAGATTCTCGTCAACTAGACTAAAGTTGTATATAAAGCACATTTGGATTGCAGGCATAGGGCTTGATTAATAAGTGGGGATCAAACTCTAAACTTAATTAATGGGTGTATTTGGCTCAATGAAAAAAAGACGAGAGAAGGGATTTTAATGAAAAGAATGGAAGGTGGAGGGATGGGAGAGATTTTAATATTATTTTGTTTGGATTGATTAAAAAAGGAGGGAAGAGATGGATTTTAATGTTACCTTATTTAGTTTAGGAAGGGAGGGAAGGAAAAATATTTTTATAAGAATAACTTTATCCTTGTTCTGTTTAAGTTGTTTTTTTATTCCAACTTTCATAATTTTTAATAAAATATAATTATTCCAAATTTCCATTGATAAGTTTTAATTGAAAAAATCTTTTTTAAAAAAATTTGACAGTTAAAACAAGCGCAAATAAATATATAACTATATAAAAATTGGGTGAGATGAGATAAGGAAGAAAGACAAAGAGGTAGGATGAAAATATTAAAAATAGTTATAAACAATTTAATCAAAACAAGATAAAAATACATTTTACCTTCAAATCCTCCTAATTTTGAAGTGGAGGATTATAAGAGGAGGGGAGTGGAGGTTCCTACAAATTTTGGATTGCCAAATGAGGGAAGGGGAGCAAAATCTGTCTCCTTCCCTTCCCCCCAAACCCCTCATACCTTCTTCATAAGAAGCATATTTCATCCCAATTATTTATATTTATTTAATTTGGACCCTCTAAATATTATTTTTTTTAATTAATTTTTCAGATGTCTTCACCTCAACTAATGTTATATTTGGCTATAAAAATTACTCAAAGTTAATTTTTTGTTTTCAAATTAGCTTTTATGTTAGCTTGCCTTTTCAAATAGACTTTCAAGTTTCAATAGATATCATAACACATTCAAAGAATAGTTTGTTTTGTTAAAAGCACTTTTGGAAAGTTAATTTGGCTCAACACAACTTGTATCCATGTGCACACTAGTTTTCTATCGCGTGATCTACAAAATGAATAGCACCTGAAAAATGAGTCATTGGTTGATTTGATAATAAACCCGATACAAGCAAATATTTTAGTCAAAACATTATTCATAAGCTAAATATACAAAATGGACTTTTAGAGGATATATATGTACAGAAACCATGATTTAATTTAAGAAAAATGTATGAAAATTAACTTAAATTATTTCAGTGGATCAAGTCTGGCTCGGCACTAAAGATTACTAAATCATGCTGACGCTATTTTGCCCAGGACAACTTCAATGATCCGTCGTTTGCTAAAAAGTGAAAAACTCAAATAATTTGTTTTACAATATCAAGGTAGCTATCAACCAGAGTTAGGTTTTAAGAGATGCTCATATTTGATGTCTTCGATAGATTTTTTTCTGCCAGCAATATTTTCAATAAGATTGCCTCTGATACCAGTGCTTAAAAAAATAATATCAAGAAATGGTTTCAGATTTTCAAAAATAAGAAAAGGGTAATTTGGTTAGCAAATATTTTCTCTCTTCTCCCTTACGAAGACAATTGGGAAAATGACCGAAAGACGATTACTAAATTTTAAAATTCTCAAATGATCACTTAAATTAGCAAAATTTCAGTTTAGTCATAGGTTATCAAATTATGATTTGTAAATTTGTTAAAATAACTATATTTCCCTTTATCTGTTTTAAAAAATATATCAAACACCCTTATTGGTCGGCGAGTTGTCAAAGTTTCAATAACTGCAGGAGTTCAGGTGGGTTACTGTCACAGGAGCTCTGACAGCCAGCTGATAACTATTTTATTGGGGATTTTTATAATTTCAGTAATACAGCTAACAAGTTTTTTTAATGCTATTAACAAGTTTAGTATAACAGTAAACAATAGATTTTTTTTATAAAATTCAAAAAGTAATATTTTTACAATTTCAAGAACACGATTAACAAGTTATGTAAAGTTATTAATAAGCTCGATATAGCAGTTACCATGTTTTCTCAAAAATTCAAAAAGCAACATTTTTATGACTTCAATAACCAGGTTAACAAGTCATGTAATGATATTAACAACTATTATAATGTTATTAACAACTCTAACAAAAATTCATATAATGATTTAAACAACTCTCATAACCATAGTGATTGCTTAATAAATGAAAATTTTTTTTTGATGTACAACCTTCATAAGGAGCTAATATTAAAAATATCAACTTTCATAGGAAAATATTGTTAATAACACTATGAGAGTTGTTAATATCTTTATATGATATCTTAACTGTGTTATTGAAGTTGTAAAAATGTCACTTTTTGAATTTTCTAGAAAACTTACTGTTAACTGCTATATTGCACTTATTAATAAAGTTATCAAACTTATTAACTGCATTACTAAAATTGTAAAAATAACATTTTTTGAATTTTTTTTAAAAAAACCTGTTATTAACTATTATGTCGAATTTGTTAATAGTGTTAAATAACTTGTTAAACGTACTGCTGAAATTGTAAAATTAAAAAAAAATTGTCAACCATCAGATAGTCATCGTCAACTGCCAGAGCTCTGATGATGCCGACCCATATGAATTTCGGAGGCCACCGCCAGCACTAGACCTCCAATGATTGGCTGGCCAGTGAGGATGCTTGGTATTTTTTTTTTAAAAATAAAAGTTTTTACTTATTTAAATAATCATTTTCGTTAAGGGAAAAAAGTAGCAACTCCATTTATCCCTCCTCCTTCCTTCTGCATGTACTCAAATGACCCTTTCAACCCTGCCTTTCTCATCAAATGACTCTTCTATCCCTCACCTCGGCCTTTGCCTATCTAAACCCCCGAGGTCACGCCACGTGACCCAAAGATCCCCCGTGGTCCTCCCCCACGCGTGACGTGGCACAATCGAGCGGCGGAGCAGATGAAACAGTGCCCAATGGCATTTCCGTAAATTCACCACATCCCCAAGGGCATATCAAATCCGTTCGGATTGTTTTCCACTCTCCCTCCCTCTCTCTCTCTCTCTCTCACAATAATCTGCTCGCTTCTGATTTTCATTTTGGCGTGGTCGCTTTCGTTTGATCACAGACCACCATTTACACACTCACGCATTTTCAGTGTTCAGTACTCTTCAGGGCTAGTGGTTCCTCCTCGCTGAAACTGCCATGGGAAGAAGGAGAAAAGCGCTTTCCGTTGAAGAACAGGGTAAATTTTATAACATTAAACTGCCTGTGTTCATGTGTATTTTGAATCGTTGTGCATTTTTCAGGGTTTTAATCGTTCATTTGGGTTTACATTTTACAGAGAGGTCTATACAGAAAGGGAAAATGAAAGAAAAAGCTATCACAGTGGAAGATGACGACGGAGGTGACGAAGAAGAATCAGAAGATGGTAATGGATTAAAAATCGGCTCTTTCTCCAAATTTTTAATCCTAAACTCTAACTCGAGCTTCATTCCTCTTTCTCTTATTCTCTTTCCATCGTCCTCGGCTTTATTTGGCACTCCATAGTGTAAGCAGTGAGTCTTTTGATGTAATGTCAGTGGAAGTTCCCGTTTCTTTTTTACAGTGTTAAGAAAGTCGTCGTCATTATCTTTATTAATTTTAAAACGCCATTTTCAGTTCAAGTTTAATATTAAGAATTAGGAAATTCAGTAAAGCATTTTCCCCGAAATTCGAGAACTTAACATGCAATGATAATGACTTCTCTATTTCCTCGTTTGCGTCGGCTTAATGTGTATATCGGTGTAGTGATAAGCCCCGGAGATCGTACTGCACTTATTTTTTTATCATCTAATGACTTGCTTTTTCCCTCACCTGGTGACGCAGAGGATGGTTTGAATAACTTTGAGGATGATGGATTTATCGTTGGTCTCGATGAAGAAGAGGAGGAAGACAATCCGCAAGAAACGCAAGAGACGAAAACAAAGAAGAAGCGGTTCATTCCCGTTTTTTACCCTGCAATGCAATTCTATACAAGTTTCTCAACACTGACTGCTCTTTGCTAACTATTTCAGAAAATCATCGAAATGCATTGTTCTTGATGATGATGATCTTGAGAGATATGATCTTGAGCTACTTCGTGAAAACCAAATCTTGGGCATCAATCGGGATAAATTGGTAAGCATTTGCATTGCTTCTTTTTTATTTCTTGCTCTCTGTGTTGCAACAATTGCTTCTCTATGATTCATTGATTCATTGATTCGTCCTAGGACAACGGAATGTTTAGAGGTAAAAAAGGCTGGCATTGATAGTGAGAAGGACACTTCGGAATTCTTAAGTATATTTACCTTGCCTTCCCCCGTTTCAGCAGATGTCCAATGATGATCTATGATGCATTTCACCATTGTTTAACTTTCTTACTTGTGTTCATGGCGCTATTCTTTTGTTGACTAATCACAAAATGTTGGCTTTCCAGGATCACGATGATAAGTTGAAGATAGCAGATGGCTGATAATAAATGATGCTGCATAGTGATAGGTGATGAAGATGATCAGGTGCATCAATGCATGAGGATATTCTGCATTATTAGTGTGTGCTAGAGTCTTGTTCAGATGTAATGAATGTATAGTTGCATTTAGATTGTTTATAATTCATAAACTTGTATTCAATGTTATATTGAATATTATGATACCAGTCTTTTAATTTTTAGATTAATTTATCATCTCATGATGAGGTAGAATGGACTGATGTTTAGTATATAGAGATGAGAAAGT